TGAGTAATTATTTCTGATTTCATTTTTCCCAGATCCTCTTTTGTTGCCAGTTCAGAGAGTCCAGGTGGTTGGGTATCAGAGTGTTCCATCTTGTTTCCCTTTGGGGTTTTTGTAGGTGCTCCAGAAGTCTGTTTTTGAGGCTTGTTTATGTGTCTTCTCATTTCCACACAGGAGGGTGCTTCTGGCACCCACGCGGTTCACCTTCCCTGCCCTAGGGGCTTGGGATGGCAGCAGGGGAGCTTCCTTACGGGTGCTGTCACAGGCTGAGCTTCCCTGCTCTAGGAGCCTGGAATGGAGGTTGGGAGCTTCCTTCTGGGTGCTGGGACCGGCTGAGTTTCACTGCCCTAGTAGCCTGAGATGGAGGCGGGGAGCTTCCTTCCGGGTGCTGGGACTGGCTCAGCTTCTCTGCCCTAGGAGCCTGGGATCGAGGTGGGGATCTTCCTTCTGGGTGCTGGGAGTGGCTCACCTTCTTGGCCCTAGGAGCCTGGGATGGCATCCTGGGATCTTCCTTCCGGGTGCTGGGACTGGCTGAGTTTCACTGCCCTAGGAGCCTGGGATGGAGGCGGAGAGCTTCCTTCTGGGTGCTGGGACCGGCTCACTTTCTTGGCCCTAGGAGCCTGAGATGGCCTGTGTAAACTTTCAGTGGAGTTTTTAATCTCCTGAATATCTGTTTGCATCTGTTTTGTGGATTCTATTTGTTTCCTATGCTGGAAGTCCATCATGTTCCTCAGCTCCTCTATTTTTGTTAATCTGTGTCTGCTCCCGAGTTATTAATCATATCTTTTACTATGGATATGATTTCTGTTGTTATCTGAGAAATTATTTCTGATTTTATTTTTTCTAGATTTTTTTTTTCATTGCCAGTTCAGGGAGTCCAGGTGGTTGAATTTCAGATTGTTCTATCTCATTGCCCTTTTTGTGATCTGGAAGTCTGGTTTTGAGTCTTGTTTAGGTGTCTTCTCATTTCAACAGATGCAGACTGCTGTGCCTTTATTGAGGTGACTGTTTGCTCTCCCAGTGGGCTTAAATGCTCAACAAGCCTCAGAGAGGCCTTCTCTCTACTGCTCACAACTGCTCCAATTCTTGTGGTACCTGGGTGGGCCTCTAGCTGGGGTTTGCACACCTGCACAGCTGTTGTCCTGGTGGGCTTCTGGCTCGGGCCTGCATGCACTTACCGATGATACCTGGGCAGACCTCTGGCTGGGGACTGTGGGCCTGTGCAGCTGCCTCCCAGACAGGCCTTTGGCTGGGGCCTGTTTGCCAGCTGTTTCATGGGTGGGCTTCTGGCTGGGGCCTGAGCACCCAATCCACTGGTGTCTGGATGAGGAGGGGCCCTTTCTCCTTGCAGCTATCCTAGTGGCTTCTCAGTGAAGCTCCCATATTTACCCTGTGTCTCCAGCACAAGATCTCATTGAAAATAGGACAGGGCACAAAGGAAGAGGGGCAATGCCAGCAGAATTTGCTTGTTTGTGTCCTTTGATTTTAGGAATTTGAAACATAGAATTCATTTGTTTACTTTCAAAGTTATTTCTCTAAAATACTCAATTGGAGAAGGAAAACAAGCAGCAATATTTGGGTTTGATCTCTATTTGTCTATGACTGTGCACGGTTATCTGATAATGTTCAATAGTAGAGGTGAAAGAAAAGAATGTTCAGTCTTTTGTGGATTCCCTTGTTTAATTAAAAATGTATAAACTTGGCTTCTAAGATATACTTTTCACCTTTTTGAAAAATCTGTGCTCTTATGAGAAAGCAGCTACCCAATAAAATGATAGGCACTGAAGTTATTTAAATCTTGAAAGTCATTGCTGAGAGTAGGTTTTGACCTCTAGTAACCATCCATTTCCAAAGGTCTGAGTAATTACTTAGATCAACAAAGAACAATCCTGAGAACTTTACTGTGTAGTTTGAAAAAGATATTAATTTCCTCATGAGAGTATTTGCTCAAAGAAAACTTTAACACCAAAATTTAGACATTGAAATAAAAAATAGGAGATATCTAACTAGAAGAAAGCCAGAGATACAGTGCAAAGGCAGAGAATGGTAAACATTTTATCAGAGAGCAAATGTAGAATGTTCTTTGACAAGAATATAATTTAGTGTAACCTGAATACAGTCTTTCTACTGTAACAGTCATGCATATTTTGCAATGTGTTTATAATAAAACTTTGAATGCCTAATCTTTTGTTTCAATAATGTCAGTTTTAAGGAGAACTTCATGTTATCCATTTTTAGACTGCAAGAGTATCAGATTAAAGAATTATCTCTTCAACCGCTTGGATCAGAGCTTTTAGAGCCCCTATTAAAGAGTATTGTTAAATGTTTGAGATTCTAAACAGAAGTTTGACACAAAATGTATTGTGATTTACAGCAGAATTAATTAATAGATATATCTTTTCATACATTGCCCCTAGCAATGTTTCTGTTCATTATTACTTGAAGGAAATAGATTAGTTCTGACTCATTTTTCATGTTTAATATAAAAACAAGAGGCCAGAGGTGTAGCTTAGTGCTAGAGCACTTACCCAGCATGCACAAGGCCCTGAGTGCAATCCTGAGGAAACAGTACTTTAAATGGTACCTCTAAAGTTGTATTTTAGTCTGAACTCCTAAGCATAACAGAAAGTAACAGTATTGTTACATTATTAAATTGAGAAAAGAATGGAGTTAGGACTCCTTTGTTTAACAAATTTCCGTTGACTTCAGCTGTGTGTAGACACTATTGTAGATGTTATGAATTCAGCAGCACATAAGACTCTTCCTTAGAACTTTATTCCAATGAAACTTACCCAGATGTTCCATAGAGAATCACCTTACCAGGGAAGACAGTTTTTAATGATGTAAACACAGAGTAGAGGCCCTAAAACCTCTCTAATTTCTCTAAGTAGTCGTCTCTTCCATATAACAGAATATATTTTATTTTTCTACATTGCCTATGATAGTAAAGACCATATAAATTGATAAAGTTCATCCACTAAATGGTGTCTTTTTTCCACATAAATATAAAACTTTCATAATTTCATCAATGTTTGCAAAATCATTTCTTTGCTTCATTGACATTATGTATTTAAAGACTACAACTGTCTCAAATTCCAATTATTTTGCAATAATGAAAGTAGGAAAATCTTACAGAGTTCTTTTTTCTCCAGTGGAAATGTAGGTTCATATAGCATGCTAGGAGTGGAAGGGACCTAAGAGATCATCCAGTTGTGTTTCAATTAGAGATGAGGACACTGGGTCCAGAGACAGTAAGTGATCTGTGATCAAGGAACTCATTGGAGACAGAATGGCTGTTGTTTGAATTTGGATCTCCTGACCCTGTTTAGTCTCCTACTATGCTGTGAAGTTCCTAATTGAGCTTCTGGTCATTTATTATAGGTGACAGACCACTCTGGAAAAGAAGAATTTTGTTCTCCTCCCTATACACATTATGAAGTCCCTCCAACTTTCTATCGATCAGCCATGCTCCTTAAGCCCCAGCTGGGATTGGGTGCAATGTCCAGACTACCATCTGCAAAGAGCAGGATTCTGATTGCAAGTCAGCGGTCTTCAGCAAGCACCATCCATCCACCAGCACCCATCACAACAGCGACAAGTCTCTACGCTTCTGATCCTTCAGGTAATGGGTCCAATGATTGCTGCCTTTTTCTTGCTGCACATTGAAGTATTAATCATGTAAAATGTTGTAACTGTCTAAAACATAAATACCTCATCTCTTAAAAGAAGCCTTTTCTTGTTCCTCCATCTGTCTGTAGATATAAATATTGAGAAAACTCATCTGTCTGCAACATCATCCTCTATGTCACCTTTACAATGGTGGCTTTTGTTATCACCTCCTGGCTTCTTAGGGTTTTTCTCTCTCTAAAAACTCTGTAGATCAGGGTTCAGAAGACCTTTTCTGCCAAAGGCCAGATAGTAACTACTTCACAGTTTATGGGTCATAGTTATCTATGTCATAAATCCTTGAAGCTGACATTTATAGCCTGAAGGCCATTTTAGTCTGAAAGTAGCAGTAGGCTGCCTGTGAGTGAACAGGTGCATTTCAGTATAACTTAGTTTTCAAAAATAGGTGGGGGCTGGATCACCAGCCCTTGAGCTATAGTTTGGCAGAGGGATATTCCCAGGGCGTCACAGTGATCTTATTGGCTTTTCATCTGTTCATCTATCTGGAGCACCTCACATTTGCTTGCAGAGTGGCTCTGCTGCTTTTCCCGGCCCTCTGCTCCTGTTGTGCAGTGGTGGCCACGGTCATCCCTGAGGTTCTCTGCACTTCTGCTGTCTCTTTCCTCCTTTCCCTATTCCCATGGTTTCCTTGAAGACTAATATATTATTTTATCACAGAAATAATACATATTCATTATAAAAAAAATTGAATATAGACAAATATGGCAAAGGTAGACCAATATGATAAAATTCTGAATATAGGCAAATATGAAGAAGAAACAAATTATACTTGCAATTTTAACATCCAGCTGGTGTTAATACTGTGGAATATCTTCTTCTAATGTATTCTTATGCATTTTTCAATAATTGAAATGACACTAAATGCTAATTTTGGTTTTTTTCACAAATGTCATATTGTACGAATTTCCTATGTGATCAGAGTGTTTAAGAAATATTTTAAAGAGTATAATATTCTTTCTATTTTGTTCATGTAAAAATTTATTCAATAAATTTTAGATATTTATGCTCTGGAAGTTGTGGATTTAGGACTTTATTGTGAATAAAACTGAGCAGCTGCCTTTCTGCAGTATACAGTCTAATCAATGGGATAGGTAATATAATGTAGGCACAAAGATGAACATATCATTGTAAATCTAATAAATGTTATGGAAGCATGGAAGTCAGTGCTTTGAGAAGTTGTTACCAGAAGAGTCTTATGGGTCGACAGAGGTGCTTCCAGGACAGCCTCTTAGAGAAAACAGGAAAAACAGGTGGCTGTGGGGAGTAGTATCAGAGTTTATTTACCCATTTTCCATTTACTTCCAATTGGGTTCTGCTTATTTTACATTACTTTAGATAATGTGGCAGTTTGCATTTTTGCATATAATTATATCTTTATTCATATTTCCATAGGATAAATTATTTGAAGTTAATTATTGGATAAAGGCATAATATTTTTCAGACTAACTAATTTTCTAGGGGACTTCTAATGATTGTTTTTGTGCTAGTGTTTCTTGAGTGTGCTATTTTCTTGCCATTTCTTTGCCTATATTGAGCATTAACATTACTATCATTACTTTCCTTTTATTATTGCTGGGGACAAATATCTTTCATGTTTGCCATTATGTTACTTTGTGAATTGTCATTTACTTGGGTAATTCTTGATGGTCTTAATGATTGCTTTTTTAGTAAGCAGATTACTTGATGGTTCCCATGATATGTACACATTTGATGGGGTTTTTTATTGTCGGAGCTGGTACAAGTCAGTTTAATTACTCAGTAGTGGTGACTGAGGGACAGAGGGACTGTTACCAGGAGGAACTGTTATTCCAGGAGTGGGGACAAAGCAGTAAAAACAGAAAAATCTTTGTCCTGGTGTAATTTAAATTTTAGAATGTAAGGCAAACTTTTTCTTAAAAAATAACTAAATACATCATTTTGGGGGAGAAATAAACAGTACTGAAGAAAATGAAACATTGGAGAAGGGGAATAGGAGGTGTTGGACAAGAAGGAGAGCGGTTACAAGTTTGGACTGAGTGGTTGGGAAAGGTTTTCCTGAGAAGGTGACCTTTAAACTAATCCAGAAAGGAAGTGGGGGCACATGGAGTTCTGCGGTATTGCATTCCAGGCAAAGAGAAGAGCCAGTGCAAAGGCCCTGAGGTAGCAAAAAGGACAAGGAAGTGGCACAGAGTGGAGAAGAGAGTGGCAGAGGAGGAGAGTAAGAGGAAGTTTGTTTTGGGAGTGGGGGGTTGCATGGGCCTTTACTGCCACTATGTGGTTTTAACTCTTATTAAAAGTAAGAAACAAAGCCATTGGAGGGTTTGGAGCTATGGTGGCATGATCTAACTTTTGTTTAAGTGGGATCTCTCTGACTCCCTTGTTGAGAACAGATTATAAGAACACAAAAGCAAGGTCAGGAGATAATTCGGGAATCCAGGTGAGAGGGCAGGGTACTGGACCATGCAGTGGTGGAAGACTGAGAAGGTAGAGCAAAAAGGAGTTCCTCACACTAGACGTGGGCTAGGAGAGAAGAGTAATAGAAGAGGATGACAGAGTTTTAGGCTTGGTCCACTAGAAGAATGGAGGGCCATGTAGAGAGGCAGGAGTGCCTCTGGCCATCTGTGAGACAGTGGTGGTGAATGTATGGCATGTGTGTTATTTGATTTTCTTTTAAGGCAAAAGATGCAAATGCATGAGTTTCTTTTTTTAAACTAAAACCTCAGTATTCAGGTTTAATTGCAGTGTTGGCACTTTGTGATAAGTGGGTTTGGGGTTGCAGTTTGGCATTTGTCTCTGAAAGGTTCACCACTGCTGCTATAGGATGAAGCCTTTGATCTCTGGGACTAGTGTTTGGAAATCAAGACCTGGATGGAGATATAAAAGTGCTAGGCACCAGCAGGTAGGAAGTATTTAAAGCCATGATGCTCTCCTTTGCTGGGATGCCAGTGCTCTCCAACACCACTGCACCTTTATTATTAAGCTATAAACTGGATGTGAACCTGAATTTTGTGCTTTTGAAATAGTATGATGTAACACTTGCAAAACTTTTTTATGCACAAATGTGGAAAAACTTCAAATCTCTAAAAATAAACTTAGTTGTGACTTGTCTTGCAATACTCAAGGTTTCAGGAATATACCACTTGCATAAAAATATCACAAATCTGTAGAGGAAGGCAGAGCTATAAGTTTCAGTGTCAAGAGTCTCTAAAATGCAAACAGCCCTATTATTTTTCTGCCAACTTCATTTGCCTAGAAAGAAACACAGGTTGAAAGAGGAATCTGTGCCTCACACACACAACTTCAGGTCATAAGGATCATCTTGGGGAACAGCGAGTGCCTGCCAGCTTGGAACGAAGCCTGGTACCTTCCTCCATGAACCTCATGCAAAAAGCTACAGAGAAAGAGTTTGCATCATGAGAAGATGTATTGAAAAATCAGTCCCCACTTCTACACACCCACCCCTCTCTTCATCTGCATACCAGAGGCCTGGACTTTTAGGAAACCACTTTCAGTGTTTCTCTCACTTTCTCTTATATAGTCTCAAATGACAAATTTTTATGGAAACGTCCTCAATTTTATGTTATGATTCAAAGTGAGGTTCAGAGACTGAATCTCTCCCTTAAGCAGCCTCTGGAGCCCAGATGAGCCGGCCTCAATATAGACATTGAAATAACCTCATTTCAGCCAGCAGTAGAATCAGAAACTCCAGTCTTATATGTGCTTCTTACAAAAGTGAACCAATTCTTAACCACTGTAAAAATCTTATTTCCATTTTTTCTCTTCATCTCTCATAGCCTACTTTTCTGGAGTTTCTTTCTTAATCTCTGATTCTCAGAGATCTCCCAGGAATGCTCCTGTTCTTCTCCTGACACTCACCCTGGGCAGGCATCAGAATCTTTTCTACTCCCTTTCTCCTAAAGCCAGGCCCTCCAGACATAGTTTAACCAACTACCAGTCCTTCCACTCCATTCAACCATGTCCTGTGTTCACAGAGAAAAGATGGGGCAACTCTGGAGTTTCTGCCTCGTCTTGAAAAAAATCTTTGAGCGTTACCATGTGTTTCTTTTTTGGACTCTCACTCAACTTATAAGGTGATATCTTCCTGTGTCTACATGTGTTCTAGGCAGAGGAAACAACATGCACAAAGGCCCTTGAGTAGGAATGAGCTTAGCATCATCAAGAACAGGCACAAAGCCAGACACAGGTAAGAGGAAGTGAGAGGTACATTGTACCCGGCTCTCTAGGCCAGCCTTGCTCTGGGACTGAGACCTGCTACTTTATTCTTCCTGACCCGGGGCCAATGAGGATGAAAGACAAAGAGACACGGAGTGAGCTTACCCTGTGGGGAGCCAGGGATTTCATGCCTCTGCTAGGCAAAAGAGCCTCGGCCCTTGACACACCTTGCTTTCATTCACGCAGACACAGGCACAAGCAATCAAAATGAGATTTATCTGGTTTCCGATATCCATTAGTACATTTTCTGGTAAACAACTCAACCTTAGCTGACTTATCTTTTCCCTCATATGCGGTCACACTTGAATGTAGCCTTTCTCCTTGGTGCTCACAGAGGAGGCCAATTAGGCCTTAATTTTCCTCTGGTCCTCAACAGTACAGAGTCGGGAGAAAGTAGGGAAGTGATTGATGGACGGATCGCATTGGGTCTGAAGCCCAGGTAAAGCATTAAATGTGATGAGACCTCTGAAATTTTAAATGTGATTGGAGTTTTTTTAATCAAGATCATCATGGGTAGTCTTTGTAGAATAGAAGAAGAGTAGAAGCACGGAGACCAGTTGGGAGCATTCAGAATTGTGTGAAAGATGGATAGTAACACTTGATAAAATAGAAATATCTGGATGTGTTAAGATATATTTTGGAAGCAGAGCCAATAGATTGGATAGTGAAGGTGGGTAATGGGGAAAGAGAAGAACCAGTTATAACTTCTAGAATTTTAGCTTG